GCATTGTGTATGACCCAGCAAGCCTCTTTCCGAGTTTGAAAATCCGAATTTGTCAGTAGGTTGATGACAAGAGGAATCAATCCGACATGAATCACATGAGTAATTTGATCAATGTTCCCGGCGGTAATGTTGGAAAGGATGAAACAGGCTTCTCTTCGAATTGAAGCTTGATCGCTGACGAGTAAAGTTTTCAAAACTGTGAGAACTCCGCAATCGAGAATCACCTGCGTCTGCAGATCGTTCCCCGCGACGATATGCCTCACGCATCGTAAAGCAGCAGACTGAACGTCGTGATGCGCGTGCATCATCAAATTAACAAGATTAGGGCAGACTCCGAGATCGATCACGGCATCTATTTGTTCACTACTCCCATCAGCAAGAAAACTTAACGCCCAACAAATATTATTGAGTATCTCGTCATCCTTGTAATTGATGAGCTGTGATATCGCAGGGAGGGTTGATGTGATCGATGGCCACTCGGCCTCGGATATTTTACCACGACAGATTGACGAAAGTGTCCAGGCCATTGTACGTAATACCGAACAAGGTTCGGTGACTTCGTTGAGAATGCGTAAACAGGAGTTGCCAAAATCACCTGTGCTTAAAACGAGCTCGCGGAAATTGGAGGCAATATTTCCTAATGCCCAGAGAGCATGATCCTGAAGTTTTCTATCCGTGCCGTTCAAAAGATCCATGAATACGGGCAATGCGCCTGCGTTGATCACAACTTGTACTTGGTCGCACTTTCCGGTCACAATGTTCGTAATTATCCACGCAGCTTCATGCCGAAGTTCCGTGTTCTTGGAGGTCAAGAATTGCACCAATCGAGGGACCACTTCGCAATCGATAATTTGTTGAATTGGTGGAACCGATTCTTTGCTAAAGATCTTTTTGATTTTGGTGAGAGCCATCAATTGTCTATCTACGCTGTTGGAATTTATATCTTCAACCAACTCTGAGAGTTGATTGCGAAATAAGGAGGTACGAGCGTTTGCTTCGCCAAGATCAGGAATTGGAGAAATGTTTGTAGATCTTATTTCTTCGAGTTGTTGAATAGGGGAGATCTCACCGTACTGATGAATTGGTGAAATAGTTGCGGTCGCAATAGTATCTTCGTCCAAACACTTTGCATCAAAATTGCACGAAATATTACTGGTGTGCTGGAAGACCACCGCCTGATAACTCCTGCGAGTCGTCAACAACTGTTCACGGCTTTGACGACGAATTTCAATTTGACGTTTCTGACGTTTCTGAGACAACTCATCGAATTTAAAAACCTTTCTATTCTTAAAAGCATTTTTCCTTTGTTCTTTAATTCGAATCATCATGGATTAGAAAGACCAGATGCGAATGTGAAGGAATGGTCGATTGCTAATAATGTCCTTTTGATGGGTGCGCTGACAAAAACGAATAATGTCATACATACATATATTTATGCGATATCGAACGATACAATAAAGGAAATAAAGAAACGAGGATTAATAAATGGTTTCTTTATTATAAAGGACTTTTTATGTTGTTGACCCAAAGAAATAAAAAAGAGTGAGCTTACATAACAAAATTTTTGGTCAGAGAAACAAAGATGGTCCGAAAAGAGTGGTGTGCAAAAGTGTAAGGATGCACATGCGTGTTCGGGATGTTTTTTTTTAATTACCAAAAATTTATATTCAGCCATCGACCATGTGTATCGGATCCGAATGTTTGGTTTAACCGATCATATTTGTCTTCTAAATCCTCGTGATGAAAAAATGGAAAAACTTTTCGTGGAATTACTGCGCCACCGTAACAGACGATACGATACGATATGACATAATCCAATAATCAACACACCGTGCATGATGATCACGGTATTTACTGCGCGTAGAGGTTCGCGAATGCATGGTTCGCGTGAAATAAAATGTTGCGGCGTAGGGAAAACGTTTAGAAAGCGAAGAACTTTGATCAAAAGAGATTTTTTAGACTAACAAGAAGATGAACTTTATCATGATGCGCCCCAAATGCTACCGTCATTATGCCGAAACGATGCGTATTATATTTGGTTAAAAACTTTTCCACGTGACCGAAACGACGTAAATAACGTAACGTACGTGCGTAGGTCAAATGATAAATGATTATCGATTATTACGTATATAAGTACTGACTGACATAAGCCCCCCCCCCTATTAATCTTCCCTCATTCAATTGTAATTTTGTTTTTGAAAACCTGAACACAACGTCACTCAATTAAAGAAATTATCGGGGAATTTTCTTTGGGATCAAAGGATTTCTTATAATAAGAATTGGCGAATCCAAAGTGGTTGGTGTAGATATACGTACGTCTTGCATACATACAGGATTAATAATCTAACTTTTTTAGTCTGAACCTGTCTTTTTTAATGTCCGAATTCGATACTCCAACCAAGATGGGTGAAATCATTATACTGAACGTTGGGGGTGTGAAGGTGAGCAGCAGCGTATAATAGATTTTGGAAATTATTTTTTTTTTTTTCTTAAAAAAAAAAAAAAAAAAATCTGACAAATGAATCCTTCTTTTCGCAAACACCTTTTTTGCAGTATGAGACCTATCGATCCACGCTTACCGCTTACCCTGACACATTCCTAGGCACAATGTTCCAGGAAAGAAATCAGGATATGGTCCATCCGATCAACGGGACTAATGAATACTTTATTGATCGTGACGGTGATTGCTTTAGGTATATACTTCAATTTTATCGCACGGGAAAAGTGTTCTGGCCAGAACCAAATGCTGGTCGGTATCTTTAAGAAAAAAAGGACGAAGAAAATTATTGATTATACGGAAGACTAACGGGAATGATCGGTTAATTTCATTCTTTTTGTCGTTAAAAATATTGCAGGAAGAATTTCGATTACTCGTCAGGAATTGGAACAAGAATTAAATTACTTTCAAATTCCTTGTCCCTCTCCCCCAAATCCATCCAAAGACCTCCAAACGAAGCCCTCATATGGTTCAAGATCGATCTCTGAACAGATAAATCAGTTTGTTAAAACCGTAAAACACATAATTGAACTCATCGAAAAAGAGTCCCGACAACAGTTCCTATTGAAACGTCATCTGGAAATTCAAATATTTCTAAAGTTCAAGAGTAATCGAAGTGAGGTCGATTACTATGTTGCCTTGTATAACGGCAACGAGTTTCTCTTGGACAATCAAAACATTAGAGGCTTGACGATGGGATATATTCTGTTGGAAGAATTCGGAGACGACATCGGTGGACATCTGAAGAAATTTTTTCCCGAGCTGAGTTGGAATATAACCAAGGAAACGATTGTTCAGATATTGACACCGGTTCATATATTAACAGTGGAAATGTGTATAAACAATAAGTTTTCCCATGATGAAATAGTCTCGGGAAGCTGTTTGGCT